TGAAAAGGTGGCCGGTCAGCATATGCTGTATGAGATATAAGGGTCGCAGTAGGATGCGCATGTTAGAAATGATATGGAATTGCAGCATTTATTGTATCTCTGCTCACTTCATATTCCAGAGGAACGCACACCAGAGGAAAGAACAAGTCTCTTCATGGCAGTTCTGTCGCATCCTATTACCTTTAGCAGCATGGAGTTAGCAATTGTGTCAGATAATATGCAGAAATCTAATCTGATGTGAAATTGATCTTGTATACTTTCGTGTCTGGTATGAAACATTTTGCCCAGAGCTCTTCCTCTCAAAGTGTTTTCAGCCTCCCTCCCTTGGATGAAAATTATGCACGGCCTGTACTTTCCATGTGTAACTTGGCAACTTGACTACACGGAGGCCTGCTGTGCCATAAAGTCTAAATTAATGAACTGACCACAGGGAGAGATGCTTCCACCATGAAAGATCCAAATTCACACAAAACCACAGTGAGAGGATTTTCTTGAGAACAGATCACCTGGACAAGGTCAAAAACCTGGAATGATTAAAGAATGAAAAGATGAGAAGGGAGAAATGGTAGCCGTTTCACTGAGGACTAAAATGACCCCATGTGGGGTCCTCGAGTGGTGTGATCATCCAAACACTGGCCAACCATCAACAATCACTGTGTGATACTAGCTGATGTAAGAGAATTGGCAGTTAGTGTTTTCCTTCAATTGTGTTGAGCTGTGCAATGATGGCTGCATTAGCAACGTGGTGGTGCTTCATGTTTTTTGGCAAAAGTACATGCTAACCTTCACACCCCCAGCTTTCTAGCATCATATGATAGGAGGACAATTAGCTTGCAGGTGTAATTAGCAATTAGTAAATTGGACAAAGACAACACAATAGCTGTGTCCCAATTCAGGGGCTGCATCCTTCAGAGGCTGAATTTAAAGGCCGGTTGCGTCACAGCGGCGTGACTAGGCTGTCCCATTTTGAAGGCTCCTTCATATGCGGCTGAGAAATGTGTCCCTCCGATACCTGGCAATGAAGGATGCTTCGCCAGCCAACATACTCCAAGGTTCATTGTGTGCTGGCAAGGATTCGAGAACATGGCGGCGTCAGCAAAGAAGCACACTTTTAAATGTAAGTGTTGGGTTTAAACTGAGTCGAATAGCTAACGATACAAACGTTTAAAAAAAGTGGTCTGAAGTAAAAACTTTTGCTAAAGTTTTGTTTTGTTTTAGGGAGTAAGACGCAGCCAGAGAGAAGCATTTCCAGCTCTATTGAATGAAAAAATTAAAAATGAAAACGTATTTAAAGAAAGACCCTGACAACAGTGGGAACAGCAGTGCTGTGACGCAAACAGGAAATCCACCGTAGAGTAGACCATGGCATTTCAGTTTGGCCTTCGTGGGTCTACTCAGCCTTCGAAGGACATGCCATGTTAAATGTTGGGGAACCAGGACAGTTTGATGGGAAACTGGCTAATACAGTGCCTCTCAACCCTCGTCCTTCATCGCACATTCTTTCTCATCTCTAATACACCCCTTTGACAGGGACATGCACAGATAGATGGGGGGTTTAGACCCTGCCTCTTCGCCCTCAGCCTGTACGAGTGCCCTTAGAGATTTATGCAAGGCTGTGTTGAGCTCTTAAATAGAGTTACAACTCATTCATTCATAGTATTGAGACAGCATAGTGGATAATTTGCTGTAAATTATTTTAATCACTTAAGGTCCCAGCTTTATTACACCATTATCATCAACAAAATCATCTAACACCACTTGGTCCAGCTAGGGTCGTGGTACAAGTAGGGAAAGCAGAGAAGCCCACACAACCCTGTCCCCCACAACTTCCTCCAGCTCATAACAGGGGAGACTGAGCCGCTCCCAGGCCAACTAGGAGATCCCTCCAGCAAGTCCTAGGATGATCTCGGGGTCTCGTCCCACTAGGTTGCGCCTGGTAAACCTCCAATGGGACGCAGCCTTGAGGCATCATAATCAGATGCCCAAACCACCTCAACTGGCTCCTCTCAACGTGGAGGAATAGCGGCTCTACTTTGAGCTCCACCTGGATGAGTGAGCTCCTCACCCTATGGAGTAGAGTATCCTGCCATCCTGTGAAGTAAACTCTTTTCTGCCACTTGTATCTGTGATCTCATTCTCTCGCTCATTACCCAAAGCTCATGACCGTAGGTGAGGGGGATGTAGACCGACCGGCCATATTGCCTTGTGGCTCAGCTCCGTTTTCACCGCTACAGTCCAGTATTGTGACTGCATAACTGCTGCCACCTGTCTTAGCCTGTAACCAAACTATAAGTACGTAATAAGCTAACTATAGGCAGTGGCCTTATTACATACTAAGGCTTATTATTCAGTAACTACACGGACCACAAAGCAAACTAGCTGAGCTGTTCTTAGGTTATGGAAGTGTGTAGTAACACTTTGTTGGCCATTTGAGGGGCTAAGTTATATTTACAATCATCTTGCCATTTTTACTAAAGGGCCCCTGTCTGTGCATAGGCCCACCCTTCAACTCTAAGGGCTTAACACAGCTCCGCTACTGGAACCAACAGACAGACAATATCTGTTGTATACATATACGTTTTTAACTTTTATATTTCTCTATTACAATGAAAATATAGGAACAGATGTCATTCCCTTCCATTCCATAGCAGTTCACATCTTTCTTGTCTTCTCTAGCAAGAATAATGGAGTTTAACTTGTCATATTAAGCATTTTATAGACATCGTTACAAAGCAGATCTCAGAAATCCACACCCCCGTTTAGCAAGCTGAGTGAGGCAAATTCTCAATACATAAAGGTGCTTGAAGCAATGGCATAAAATAAAAACCTTTGGTTCCCTGAAGAACCTTACAATGCATTAATCGCAAGAAATACTCTAGAACATTTCAACTCAACCTCAGGTTTTCTATTCTTTCACCAAGCGCATCAAAGTGTGAGTGGTAAGTGCAGGATGCAGCCGATAGCAACTAAAGTGTATTTCATGGGTTCTTCTGGGAACCAAAGATGGTTCACCAGTGGCGTCACTCCAAAAAACTCCTTTGGAACACTTATTGTTTGGAGTGCAGAAGAAACAAGAAATATTTCTCTCACAAATCTTTTGTCAAAGCCAAATTCTAACCCTCCCCAGCGCTGCACCGGCCTTCCTCACTGCAACTCGGCTGATTCAACCCATCACCGTTTTGCTAATCAGGAAAGGAGCTGATTCAGGTGAGTAACCCTTGCTGATGTTTCTGAGGACTGAGCTCAGGAGCCACTGGGATCATGCTTTGATGATTGCTGAATTGCCCCCCCCCCACCACCCATGCACCTACCTGCCCCTTCTTATAGCTCTCAAATACTGACCTCAGCTTTGCGGATGGCCCTGTGGGATCTGGCAGCCTCCAGCCAAAAAGCGAGGCTGTTAGCAACTCAGCTAGAATTACAGCCCAGTGGGACTTCACCGTTTCCCTCATCCACTCGAATCAACTGCAGTTAGCTGGTGATGGCTGAGTAAAAACCAGCCATCCAGTGACTGCGGTTGAAAGGCAGGTCAGGAGAGGTTGCCAGCCAGGTCCAAACACAGACCAGACAGCCTGCAGTTTTTTTTCCTTTTTTCCCCACACTTTTTCACTTCAGCATTTCCAGAAGAAAAGGTCTCTGACCTTCCTCTGATGGCCCATTACTTCTCCTCCATGGTTTCCCCTCGTTCTGACACAAGCTGACGTGAAAGCAAAGGGAATGTCCCAACAGGATCCCGGAGAGTTCAAACACCAAACTATCCCAAATGCACCTTCAGTGCTCATTTCTGGATCGGATTTTAGATGGGCTGGTTTTTGTTTCATTTCTATTGTAAATGTACCTTTCCTCATACTGTACAGGCATAAGAGTGTTAAAACGTATGAAATGAGAGTACCATGAAAGTATTTCTCTCTATTTTCCTTTGAGTAATACCATGAACAACCCATTTTTGGTTCCCTAAGTAACCTTTTTAACTTTTAAAGGATTCTTGTAAATGACATGCTCTAGAGGGAAGAACCTTTTCCAAGTTTAAAGAATTTTCACATAGGGTTCAATAGCACTTAGATGTTTGCCAACAATGCTATGTCCAAGCCAAGAAGCATTAGTAACTTTTATTTTTCAGAGCATCCTTGTCTTTTATATATACAGTATCAGTCCAAAATGTAGACACCTGTACTTATAGAAGGATTTCCGTTATTTATACTATTACTATGTTCCACATTTTAGTAGTGGAATAATAGTGAAGATTATCTGAACTGTCTGAACAGAATATAAATATATAATATATATATATATATATAGCTGTTGTCGGAACAAAGCCTTGTATCTCCATGTTTGATGTTTTTCGGTTTTTGACATAATTTGAAAATGCTGAGAGAGAGACAGAGAGACAGAGAGAGAGAGACTGACTATGTGACTCATAAAGAATTTAAACAATCAAAATGTCTTTAAGATTATGAAGGACATACATTCAGGCAGGAATGTCCAATCTTTTGACTGGTTACACTTACATTTCGAAGATGAAGAAAGTTTTTGAATAGCAAACAAGGCATACAGTATTACACAGTGTTTTATATATATATTATATATATACAGTATTACACAGTACTATACCCATGCAATACGGGGTCAAGTGTGTACTACCTGGGCGATTGTGTAGTGGCCACTGCCCCAAAGCAGTGGGTCAGACCAGAGCTGTTTTTCTACTACAGCTTTAATCAGGCATAATAATTTTTTTTTTTGTGCACATGTATCTCGGCCTCACAGACATTGCTGCCAAAGCAAGTGACTCCGGTGCGCCAGATTAAAATCTGTTTAAGGTAATAAAAGCAAGGAGGAATATTAAAGTTGTAAAATTAAAGCAGGGTAAACCTTTTTAAAAGTGGGGGAAACCTGAATGTGATATTCGACTGACTTAAGCCCAAAATATATTTGGGAACCGGCGGCTGAATGTGACTGAACCTGACTGGGTTTTGACAAATATTTCAAGCTCCAGTTCCTACCCTGAGAAAGGAGAGGTCTCGGCTGCGGTCGATGCTGGTGATCTCCAGGTTTCCCATCACCACCTCACAGTTTTCATAGTATTTTCGCAGAGTCCGATACTGCTGCTCCAGATCCGACAGAGTGCTCAGCTTATTCTCTGTTCCAGCGCACACTGCAGAGAGAGGAAGAGAGAGAGAGTCTGAATTCAGTGAACTCACTGAAACAGGAAAACACCATTTACATTAACTTAAGTCAATGTAAGTGGTCAAATGCTTTTTGGTTGGCTGATATACACAAGAATGGTGGTTTGGTAGTTGGTTTCTAGTTTCTAGTGTCTGGTTTCTAGTGTAATGTATAGAGTACATCAAATGACATATAGATCAATAAATACTCAAAATAATGCTGTTTATATGTTGTTTCCATCAGAACATTTCACCATTTCATAATCTTTTTCTCTGACAACCAAACTGTGAAATAGAGGGGGTCCTGGGGGGTCTGAGACCTCCTAATTAACCTCTTGGACCCCTGAATGTCTCAAAATTCTGAGGGGGCCCTGAAAGTAAACGTATGACGTTATTCTGTCCTTTAGGGAAAAACAGACGCTCAAATACAAATTCAGGGAAAAATCATTGTTTAGCTGCTTCACCCACAATCAGCGAGTGTCTGTCTTTGGTACTAACTAGAGTTGCAGCACTGCTCTGCCTAAGGGTGGTGCTGTAGCAAACTGGTTTACCCAGTTGGTCCTTTCAACTTCCGAGTCCGGTGGAAAGAGTGAATTGTTAGCCATTCTCAGACTGAAGACAGCAGAGAAGTGTAAGATCTCGCTGAATGTGTGGACGAGAACATTATCAATCTAGAAAAGAGCATTTCTGGAAGAACAATTGTTAAACCAGACATTTTGTTGCCTCTAAAATAGCTTTAGTGCTGCTATGGCGAGTGAGTTAGCAGCCAGTCAACGCTGGAGTAGTCAGCCAGCATGGGATCCCCCAAATACCAGGGGGTATTTCCCACACTACTGGCAAGGTCAGGTTCACTGTGTGAACATTTCATAATGAGTGAAACTGAACAAAAACTGGAATAAAATCTCACTGCATTAACTTTTTTCCATGTTAGTTCACCTCTTGGTGATGTTAAGCAGTCTCACATCACTCTAAACTAAATTTTTGTTCTCCTGCAATTTTTGATCAAAGTGTAACGACGCTTGCCTGTCTTTGAAATGTCTTCTGATTCGTGATTGCATCACTGTGCACCAGAGGAATCGCTCAGCTAGATCTGAGACCCTCCCTGATACCTCGAGAGAGAGAGATACTGTAGGTTTGGAGACTTAAGTTCAACAGTTTGATGACAAACAGTGACAAACAGCCCTGCGGTTGAATAATCTACAGATCAGCTCATCCAGCAGGCCTTCACCCGCAGAGCCGACCTGACACGTAATTAAACACGGCCATCTCCACCCATCAGCCACTCCTCACCACTCTCAGACATCGGCCATCTGCGGCATCAGCTGCTGAGACCCGGTAGGGGAATAAACCCACCCCCTCGCACGCACGCAGACACACACACACACACACACACACACACACACACACACACACACACTCTCTCGCTTCACTGAGCTGCTGTCACTACAGCCAGACTCACTGATACTATCACCATCACTATAACAGAGAGAGAGAGAGAGAGAGAGAGAGAGAGAGAGAGAGAGAGAGATGGGGGGTGGGCTGGTGTAGAAAAGAAAACAAACAAGGTGGGTGATAGAGGGAAAAAGAAAAAGAGATGCAGAGAGAGAGAGAGAGAGGGAGGGGGAAGGATGGGCAGGTGTAGAAATAAAAAGAAAAAAAGAGAGGGGTGACAGAGGGAAAGAAAGAGGGATAAAAAGAGGAAGGAAGAGCAAACGACATGACAGTTGGACAGAAAGAAAAGGATGAGATGGAAAGAAAGACAGGACAGAGAGAGAAAGAGAAAGAGAGAGAGAGAGATTTAGAAAGCAAAAAGACGGAGAGAGACAGAGCAAGAGAGAGAAAGAGAGAGAAAGGAAAAGAGACAGAGCAGATAAAGAATGGTAGAGAGACAGACAGAGAAAGCGAGAGAGAGAGAGAGAGAGAGAGAGAGAGAGAGAGAAAGAGGGAAAGAAAGATGGAGAGACAGAAAAAGGGTAAAAAGAGAGATGGAGAGAAATGAAAAGATGAAAAGAGAGTGAGTGAGACTCCCTCACACCTTCATCTTTTTCTTTAGTTTTCTTTTCTCTCCATTTCTCTCACTACACACTCACTCTTTCCATTTCTTTCTTCTCTCGCTCCTCTCTTTTTCCATCTTCCCATCCTCTTCTTTCTGTCCAACTCTCTTTATCTCCTTTGCTCTTCGTCCCTCTTTTTCCATCTCTCTCTCTCTCTCTCTCTCTCTCTCTCTGCGTTAAAGATAGCTCACAGTGCCCTTCATTGCACATTTGGCCCTGCCATCGAACTTTCATTATATCTTTCCTTTTTTTTTCATCCTCCTTTCATTACTTCACAAAGAAAGAGAGAGAGAGGATAAACAGAGAATAAACAGTATACATAAAAACAAACAACCAACCAAACAAACAAAAACTCGTCTTCAAGGTGGTCGGCTTTATAGAAACGAACGAGCCATTGTTCAAACAACACCCTCCGACCCCTTATTAGATCACAAGACGCTGGAGGAGCCGTACAATTTCAGCGAAGGACGCAGGAGGAAGGGAAATGGAAAAGTGGACAGGTCAGGTGTTGGAGCGGGGAGTTTTCAATAAGCGTTAGCATGCATTAGAGGGAGGGAGGTATTATACAGCTCGGTTAGTGGTAATAAACAGTTATTGCGCCCTCGGGGCTTCGCCGCTGATATTACAGGGAAAGTGTGGGATAGAAAGTCGTGGAGGGGTGAAGGGGTGGAGGGGGGGAGGTGCTTATATTAACACTGCCAACAATTCAGACATTCCAATAAAGCCCACCTCTATCACAGCAAAGAGAAGAAATCACAGTAAAGTGAAATGTGGAATAGAAACTAGAACACAAAAGAAATAAACGCTGAAAAACAACTATTTTTTTTTAAATACTGAGCTGATATTATTATCAGCCGTTTGGATTGTAATGCAGTCAAAAATGAACTAATATTAGTAATAATAATAAGTTCAATTTATATAGCGCCTTTCTCAAACCCAAGGACGCTTTACAAAGAGATCAGAAAGTAACAAAAAACATAATCAACAATAAATAAAACAACACAGTACACACACACGCACACACACACACAACTCTACATTTCCAACAGCTAGTGAGGGGGATTTACACTGACCACAGTACAGAGTCACTTAGCTAGCCTGAAAAGAGTCCTTAGCGGAGGTGGCAGTCTCACTCCACGACTATGGTGCGTCACACAGGCAGCCAGCACAGGAAGCCGTGAAGACTGAAAATGTCCCTAGCCATAAAGGAATAGCATTTCTTGCAGCTGAACACCACCAGTCCAGGCAGCCACATAGCTGCAGTGCAGCGACAACCAAGTGTCCGGCCCAGGCAGCCTCATAGCTGTGATGTAGCGTCGCTTAGGCAGGCAGCCAGCCAGAGAGGCCTCCTAGCCATGTCGTAGCGCTGCTCATGCAGCCGAACGCTACCAGCTCCACAGCTGCAGTGCAGCGTCATCCAAGCAGCCAGTCTAGCAGCCACGTATCTGCAATGTAGTGTCAATCAGGTCCCCAGTCCACGCGGCCTCGTAGCCGTGATACAGCGTCACTCAAGCGGCCGGTCCAGGCTGCATCGTTGCTGTAACGTAGCGTTACCCAAACAGCCAGCCCAAGAAGCCTCTGAGCCATGTGTGGAAAATCAGTCTCGGCTGCTATCTCGGTGGATGTGATGGCAAACTCCTCAGCCAGCAGGGAAACATTAAAGCATACACACAAACAATACCAAACAAAACAAACGAAAAACCGATGTAAAGCAGCAGCCATACTGCACTAGCGGACTTATGACGGAACAAACTCGCACACACACTGAAGCTATTAGAGCCTATTTAAACTGAGCTTTACTGACTGACTGAATTATGATTTTTCGTTTTCAGCTGTGAATAATCAAATATCAAATATCGTCAGTTAGACTTCAACCGCAGAAGTGCTGAATGATGTAAACAGTCTAGTGTGAGGGTGGAGCTTCTAAGAATTCCTAGCATTTTTATTGGTTTTGTTAATTAGCTCTTGTTTCTCTTATTTTGCATAACAATGAGTTCTCTTTATAAAAAGATCACCATCGTGATGACCATAATATCTTCACAAGTGAAGTCATCTAATACTAAGTTGTCATTACAATGTTGTTATAAGGATTTTGTAAGAATATTTAACCAATTTCTAGATTTTTCTTTCGAGTTTTAACTAATTGTAAACAATGAAGAGGCTTTATTAGTTTGAGGGAGTTCCAAAGTCGTCAAACAACAAGCCACGATCAAGTCCAAAACAATCCAAAACCAGGAAAACACTGTCATAACAAAGCCGAGGGGAAAAGGCAAAAAGACAGAGTCGTAATAAACAGGCAGTAGGTCGATAAACAGGAAAAACAAACCAGAATACACAATGAACCGCTCAGTAGCTCTGGAAACAGCAGCAATACCTTGAAGCTAAAGCCCAGTCTTCAAAAGCTAACTAAACAGATCACATGACGAACAGAACAGGTGAACAAAATCAGTATTCTAGCAAGGCCGATTTGGACAGGGGGTGTGTGGAGCAGTCAGAGTTACGTGATCATCCAAGGGGTTCTGGGGATTGGATTCCCTGCTGGAGGGATGCCTGACAGCAACAAGTCATGTTATCTGCCAGCGATACAGAAACAGGTTGAATAATCTTATGATACTCCAACAAAAAATGTTTCCTCTTGCCACATTTTTTTTCAGTGTGGTCTCTTATTCTATAAAGAATGTGAGTGCTAACTGTCAGTTTAGCAGTCTTTATTAAGACAGGCAGAACAGCACGACGCCATTAAAACTTCATAAATAAACAATTATCCTCACAGCAGAGGTGTCTGTCTGCCCCAGTATAAAACCACTAAATATCAGTGCTTGAATGGCAGGATTGGCAGGAATAAATCCATGGCTCCTTAATATTATCTAATATTATCAGTCAATATATCAGTCCAGCTCTATAGAAACTAATAACACATAAAAAAAGATGTGATC